GCAGCTACCACCTCCCAAAACCTTTGGACTTCTCAAAACTTGTAAGATTATTATGAATCATGGACACATCAAACATGGGATACTTGTGCACCTAAGATCAAAGGAAAAAACATTCACAAAAGAGGCAGCCAGCCATGTGTTCAGGGCCACATGCAGTCTGGGTGAAGAGCATCTACTCTGTTCCCCACCTGACTTTTTGGACCAGCATGAAATAGTACATATGCTTAAGAGCCAGAAAAAAAAGAGAATCTCCCAAGTCCAGCAACTTGGCTTTGTATAAGCCTGAGCTCTTCCTGTTCAATAGCCAATTAGATTAAGGGTACTCTTAATCACTGCATAATGCAAACCAGTACTGCTCACAAAAAGCAGGAAATAGGTTAGCCCAAGCCTCTATGCAGTCAACTAGAACTATGTAAGGAACATGCTACAAAAGAATGGTCCCAGCAAGCCAGTTTACCCACATTACATAAATATAATACAAAGAAAATTGAACAGGGAGAGAATACTAACATCTATTGCAATCAGAGAATGCTTCACCAAGGAAGTAATAACTGATTTGAGCCTTGTAGGAAAGATAAAGATTCTGTGAGGTGAAAATGAGAAGTACTTTCCAGACCTGAAAGATGACTCATATAGTGGATTCTTGGAGTCCGGAGAAAGAATATTGAGTTCAGGTACTCTCATTTGGCTAAAATGTAGTTCATGAGGGAAGTAGTAAATAAGGCTGGTAAAGTAGATGGAAGTCAGATTGTGGAGGGATTTAAATGCAAGGGTAAATAGTCTTCATTTTATCACAGAGACATTGGAGAGCCACTAAGCTTGTTGTTGTTTTTCCTAAGCTCCAAATCTACAGGAATATGACTTTGGCAGCTCTGAGCTGGATGGATTGAACAGGAAAAGAAACTGGAAGCAGCAGTCCACAGAAGAGGTGCTGAAGACCTTAGGTAGAGCAATAGGTCAGATACCAAGAGATGGTGTCGCTGAACAATCACAAAATTTAATAACTGATTGGATTATATATGACAGAAACAATACCCTCAACAGAAATAAGGAAGTTGATATTTTTTTTCTTAAATGTGTATTTAATTGGAAATACTGCAAAAGTTTTGCTCCTTATTAAAAAGGGGGGAGGGGTTTTAACTCGCTTCTGGAATCTTTTTAACAATCTTAAATGAGAACTTAAGTGAAAATAAATCCTGTAGTTATTCTAAATAAGTTGAAAACTCTAGAATGATTAGTAAAGTCTGCTAAAAAAAATTAAGAATGATTAGGAACAGCGGAAGTGAAATGTAAAGTATGCTAGAAAAGATACTGATGCTTTCAATCAAGGCCATTACTCCTCACTTAATTCACCCACCATTAAAAGCTGGATATAAACTTTAAACGTATTGAAATAAAAGGAAAAATCTGAAAACAAAAAAAGAATCCTCAATCATATACTACAGTATTAAAGTTCATTATTTATATAGAACACTTTAGTAATATAAACAGAATAACTACGTCAACAATGACAATTCCTATTACTTTGAAAATTACATACAGTATTAAGAAAAAAAGGCTACAGAAATAAAAAACTTATCTGTAGTTTTACATGTTTATTTCATCAAATATTAGTATCTTAAGCTCATTCATAGTAGGAAAATCCGTAAAGAATTCCCCAAAATTCCCATTTTCCGTTTCTAAGTACTATGTTCACAGATTGATAAGCAATATTGTAAGTCTTTAAAGAAATGAGTTTATGGCATAAAAGTCGTTTCTTTTTCTACAACTATAATTACTGTAAATATATTCTTAAGAGTTCTGTAGAAACCAAAACTCAGATAAACAACAGCAAGGATCTAACTATATTAAATTTCCTCCCTGAGGTCATCAGCAACTCCGGTAATGAATGTTTAAGGGAAAACAACATACAGTATTTGAGATACTCTACTCTTTTCCACAGGCAGTTCTGGTTGCTATAATCAATACACCAACATAACAACTGTTGTAAAAACAAGACTATAGATATAAATCTGAAAGGTGCTAGACAAGTCATCTAGTTCAATCACTTCACTTTACTGATAATGAAAGAGTTCTAGTGAGGTTAAATAACTTGCTCAAGGTCAGAAAGATCAACAAGCATCAGAGACAGAACTTGAACCTCAATCCTCTGACTCCAAAGCTGGCACTCTTTCCACTGTGCCACCCAAACAACACTTGAGAGAGCCAAAGCCAAGATCCTGGTCATACTCTTTAAAGGTTCTAACTTATTCTCACTCATAATCTAGCTTCCACAATGTTACACTATGTAGGTACAGTTTTATCTGCATAAAAATATAAGATCGATTTGAAATGAGGCTGTTTATCATCCCATATAACCAATAATTTTGCATTAAATGCTGGACATTTGTACTCTGTGTAGCATACTTTAAAACTACAGGTTTCCTATAGCACACTTTGAAAATTCTAAAAAACTTAAAGTAATCAATGAAGAAGGGTATTTTTAAATACTTCACCATCTGTCACTTTAATGTAAGCAAAAATATATAATATTAAATTCTGAACTGCCAATTTAGAAAATATTCAGTGCCCCAGCACTTTGCACAATGCCTATCGTGTAGTAACTTAGCTATTACTACTCACCAAAATCTACACTATTTACAAATTAAATCAACCAATAGATGCATATTACAAAACAAAGAGCAGAAATGCAGTAATTTCAAAATTCCAAACTTCTTAAATAACTAAAATACAGTATAGTAATAATGCTGTACTGAGCCTTCTTTCACCTTATCAACCACTGTCTTCTATGAGTAACTCACCTCCACTCCCTTTTATAACTTTGTTAAGTGCACAACAAAAATTCCCCCTTCTTTATATTTAGAAAACACTATTTAGCCCAAAAAAGGAGCTTGAACAAAAGAATTTTCTCAAGGATTCTGGTCATTTCTTCCAAAATACAGGAAAGCACACCACAAAAATATAAAGAAAATATCCATTTCTATAATATCAAAGAGACTGGGCTTTTTTTTTAAAGGAGGAAAAGTGAGGATCACTACTGAAAATCATTTTATATCGAAAAAACTGTCAACTCTTTGGACATCAGTATTTACTAGAAATATTTTAAATTACATAACTATTTTCTTTTCTCTTAAATATGATTCCATTTTATATACAAATGAAATAAAATCAACTATATTAATAGAAAATCTATTAAAATGCTTCTAAAATATAAAAGAACAGCATGATCCAAAGTGGTGTGATTTCTCATCATTAATATTCAATTTAAACATTTAAAATAGAATACGAAATTTAATCATTATAAGGCAATACTTAAATGACTTCCTTTGATTTTTTTTTTAATCACAGCTTTGAAGACAATCTTTGTCATTAATTTTTTTTTCCATTTTACAGATGGGAAGGGAGAGATACTGGTATTAAACGACTTGCTCAAGATCACAAGGGAAAGCTGGCATCACTTTAGAAAAACCTTAAGAGGCTCAAAGATCACCTTTATAAAAGGACCTTTAAGTCCAGAAATTTTACAATGATACCTACACATTTTTCACTTCTTTTTCATGTTATTTTCTAATTCAAGCTTCAATCTTTTATCAAACTTAAGCAAAAATAAAAAAGAAAAATAAGAAGTTCTAAAAGTTATTCAATTTGTAAAATAACCATTAAACAAAACACCTAAGAAAGTGAATATATAAAAAGTTATCAAGTGATAGTCTTGAGATGTCAATTAATAAAGAGTCCAAATAACTATAAAGAATTCGCTTTCATACATTTCTACTTTTAACTTAACCTATTTCATCATATCAAGGTATTGGCCATTTCCAAACAACTAGAAAAAAATATGAAACTGATTAAATGCAAGCACACCTCAATCACTGTTCAACTAGAAAACTAATAATTACTGAGAACATTTCAAATTAAAAAGAAAGCTATAACATGGCTTATTAGAAATTAAATCTTTATATATGGAAATGTGAATTTTACTAATTCAATAGCAATTACAACACTATTAGTATTCTAAAAATATGAAAAATGTTTTCAGTCCAGTGTTCTTCAGATGCTAAAGCAGCTTAAAAAAATTAGAAGATGCTGAATATTTTGCTAATAACAATACGTAGTCTCTTATAACTTAAGAACAACTAATTGATCTCATACTACTCATTTTCTAAATGGGAAAAATATTTTTAATGAGAAGACTAATATTTAAAAAGCACAATTTCATTAAAATGAGGTGGTAAGTTTTATAGCACAAAGGTTACATTAAATACTAGTTCTCATCCTCCATCTAAGTGAATATCTTCTTACTTACAGCTATATAAAGAGGAATCTAACCAATTCAATCAAGATGATGCTACCAAGCATCCCTTCCCAACTCCAATCACAGAATTCTAAAAATATGTTGGTATGTTGATCAAAATGAGTTTTTTTAAAAAAATACACAAATACTTCCCTTCGTTGATTTCATGTACTCTATTATACACAGATTAATTTAAAATGCTCTGCAAGTCTGTAGGGCAGTGATGACCTGATGTCAAAGCAGCTATTTCAAATCCAATTTTACAATGATTTGAAATATATCAGATATTTAGGATAATTTTTCAACTGCTATCAGTACTTTTCAATTTCATATCTACCACGAACTTCACTAAAATATGTACCAAAGGCCTTTGGGACAAGAGTTATTTTTTGCCTTCTGAGAATTCATCCATCATCTCTTCCTGCTGACCTGGAAATGTAAACTCTATGTGGGCTAGGCCTTAAAATTAAGACAATTTAGTGGCACTGAATCGCACCTGAAAAACCATCTAGCAAACTAGAAAATTCCCAACCCTAAGAACTAAATTAATCCTTAATCTCTTAATCCAAGTATAAAATATAAAATAAAATATATATGCCTGCAAAATACAGAGAAGACAATACATTCACAAAAACCCTTTTAAGATACCAGATCATTCTCCCACTAAAAAATGGTCAGTTAGTAAAAGAAATTCAAACAGACTTACCCCATTCCAGGTACTCAACAATATTTTTCTCTCTTCTCAGCGGGGAATTATTACATTCATCATAAAGGCATATGAGTATATCCAGCAAAGTCTCCACACTGAAGCACTGCCCATTGGTCTGAGCTGGCCCATCCAAAATAAACTGCTCCAACTGCCTCAAACGCACCTCTCCAGACATGGTTGCTTCAATTTTTGTTGGTCGTCCTTTCAATTATTAGTACTGTTTTTATGACTTGAACCTAACTTTTAAGCACACGGTGGTTGTTTTTTGTTTTTTATTTTAAAGAAACCAGTAGTGATTTAAATGACTATCAGTGCAGTCCTGGTGCTGAATTAAAAGCCCAACACGGTGACAACCTCCTTAGCTGAAGCCTGTTCAATTTCTCATACACATTTTTTAATGGGGAAAAGTTGCCCCCCAAAAAATATTATATATTTACTTCATTTGGGGGAGGGATATACATATAATTTTATATTTAAATAACAAAATAATAATTATTATAATTCAAAGTAAACCACCAAATAGCCAACACTTCTTTAAAAAAAATTCTTCTCCTTCATTCAAAATTCAACTCATGCAACATAATCCTGAAATTAATCCCGTTGCATCATTAAAGAATAAAACCCGATTTGCATTAGCAATTCACTTCTTGTGGGGTGGACAGAAAAAAGTAGGAAGAAAACAAAATGTGTAACAAGAGGGAGGGGCAACCCCAAATCCTGCAGTAAATTCCCCCCACCAACACTTGGATAATGCATCGGTGGCCAATTTCTTCAGGGGCGAAGGTGGGGGGCTGGGATGGAGGTCTCTGGAGCAGCCCCTCCACAGAGCACAGCCAAGTCTTTTTCCTCCCAAAGTCGTCTTTCCGCCCCCCCCTAAGGCTTTGCAGTCATTCCTATTTCCGTAAGGTTCCCAATAAAACTCTTCATTTTTCTGCCCCCACTTCTCCTCGGGGGCTGGTGGAGCTGGAGGGAGAGCGAAGAGGGAGCGGGGTGGCGATCGATCCACCCCCGGCTCCCACGGCAGAGGGCTAACTAACCCCACTGACAAACCCCCTCCATGGCTGTCAGTCAGGCCGACTGTCCGTCTGTCTGTCCGCAGGGGCGCCGAGGTCGCGGTCTTGGGTCTCTCGGCTCCCCCAGCACCGCTGGCCACCGCCTCCTCTTCTTCCTCCTTCTCCTCCTCCTCCCTGTCCCCTCGGGGCCGTTTCCGAGGCTCCCAAGGCCCCCGACTGACGCGCGGACAGACGGAGGGACGGACGGAAGGAAGAGAGCGAGGGAGGGAAGGCTGGGGGCTTTTCTGAATTCAGAGGACCGAGGCGGCGGCTGTTGAGGCGGCTTCTCTCCCTTCTTCACGCCCCAGAGTTAAGGGCATCTTTCTCTGGGGGGAAGGGAGGTGGTTCAAACGGAGAAGGAAAAGGAGGTGGAGGAGGAGGGGTGGAGGTTGGGGCCGCCGCTGCCGCTGCCCCTGCTGCCGCCGCTGCTGGTGTGAGGGGGGCGGGGAGCTGAGGCCGCCGCCGCCGCCGCCGCCGCCGCCGCCGCCGCGCGAGCTCGCTCCCGACCACTCCCTTCCTTTCCCCCTCCTCCCCCGCCCTTCTTCCTTCTCTCGTGCTCGCGCTCCTTCTCCGAGAGTCGCTCAACTCGGGCTTCTCCTCCTTCTCCCCACTCCCAGTCAGCACCATACACCGGCGGCGGCAGGCGCGGAGCAGTCCAGAGCCAACATGGCGGCAGCGCCACACACCCCAGCCCCCCACCCTTTCCCACTCCGCCCCTCCCTCCCCGCCGGCCTCGAGTCTGTCCGAAGCCCGCGGGCGCGCGGGCGGACGGAGCCTGGGCACGCGCCGCTGCGGAGCGGAGGGCACGGAGAGTGACGGGTGCGCGAGCTGGTGGAGAGGGAGGGGGCTGAGGAGTCAGATTGGGCTGGGGACGGGGTGGGGGGGAAGGAGGCTTGGTGATGCTGCGGCAGCCACAGCGCGGAATGCAGGGATACGGGAGGACTCGGTTGGGGGGAGGCCGCGGAGGAGGTTAGGCGGCGGGAGGATGGGTGAGCCAAGGCCGGCCCCTCCGGCTTGCAGAGGGCCCCCAAGCACGGGCTGTAGAAGTTGCTGCAAACCAGCCGCGGTCGGCGCCGGCCGGGCGTTCTGAGCCTACACTGGCCGAGATTTTTTTCAATCGCCTCCTCCCTCGGAAGCACCCAGATTCTCAGCAGCTGCTTTTTGGGGGTCCTCAAACTGAGCACCGTCCTCCTGCGGTGATACCACCTGCCTTGCAGGTTTGCAATGACGGCCTCAGCAGCAGGAACAGCACCGGGTGCTGACTGCTCTTCTCTCTCTACCTCAGCCCCCAGCACACATACCCCTCAATTCTCCTGTCTCCCAAATCATGATGATTTCTTGAACACTAAATTACTGTAAAACGGGGGAAAGTAATATGCATTTATATCGTGCCTGCTATGTGCGAGGCACTGCTAAGCGCTTTACAAATATCTGTTTATCCTCACTACCATCCAGGGAGATAGGTGCTGTTATTAGCCCCATTTTACAATTGAGGAAACTGAGGCAAGCAAAGACTTGCCCAAGGTCACATGGTTGGTGAATATCTGAAGCTGGATGCTTCCTGAGTACTCTATTGTGTCATTTTCAGAGCAAAAAGAGTGATGGAAATACAAGTATTAGCATCAAACTCCTACTAAGTATGAAAAAGAGAATTCTCCATTTCTTGATTCCTAAAAGTTTCCCTATTTGTACTTGGACAAATAGATGACATGCACATTTTATCTATATCTTGTTATCTCTAGCCTGGGTTCTTATAGTAAATACTGAGAACTCACTAGGAGCAAATATTCGATAGACGATAATTGTTTGAATAGAGCCTTGGGCCAGGGCTAGTCACGGGTATGGCCACTCTCCCGGAAGGTTTTTGGGAAAAACTGAGGAGTATAGGTCTGCGCCTTTGCAAAATTTGGATTGGTCCCCCCATTAAAGTTTACACAACTCTAGCAGATTAAGCATTCCTTCTCATTTTCAAAAAGAGATTCCCCTCTAATATCTGATCTCATAACAAACACGTCATACTTCTATTATGTACTTATCCTAATTTTTATTATATTGACCTGCAAACAAGCTTTATCTGCTCCCACTAGATTGTAAGATCCTTGAGGACATGACCCTAGTGTTATTTATCTTTTACTTTGTATTCTGTGTTTACCTTCCTCTTGTTCTGAAGTCTGCAACATGTTATCTCTCATTCTTGCTGGTCCACCATTTTTCATTGTACATGTCATCTACAATATCTTTTACACCACTTCTCAGGAGAAATTTATCATTATAATAGGCTGCAGCCTACATATGCCTACCATGTATCTTTCCATTGTCCTTCTGGCTATTCTTTCTAATTCTGCAGATACTGTGGCATTCTGTGATTTAAAGCCACATAACATCACCTGAAGAATATTGGAATTAATTGGGCTTTTGTGGAATTGACAGTTTAGGATTACAGAAAACCCTATACAAGTTCCCCAAATGAAATCTAGTGGAATCTCTTCCTCTTATAGAATGCTGAGGCCCAGTTCATTATCCATGTGCATTATCTGCCCAAGACACACTTTCTGATAGACCAATACAATACACTGCCCAACCAGCTGCTTATATAGCCTGGGGCCCTGGGCAATATGCATTTTTCATACTTGGTTTTTCAAGTGTGGATGGTTAAATTCATTTTTATATATCTAGCAGCTACTTAATATTTGTTGAATAAACTTTTTTTTTCCAAATAGTAGATGATCTAATGTTTACATCTTTTATGTACAATTCATCAGGAGAAGAATACTGTCAAGAAGCAAATGTTGACAAAAGTTATTCAAGCTCCCCTACATAATTAAATACATATGAAATAATGGAAAGAGCCCTGGAATTAAAGCCCAAAGGTCCTGGGTTTGAATCTCAGCTCTGTTACTTCCTGTGTGACCTTGGGCAAGTAATTTCCTCTCCATGCTTCAGTTTCTTCTATAGTAAAAGGTATCTTTGATCTTTTTATCTTTCACAAAAAAAGACTTCCCTTTTTCTGTATATGGCACCCCTATTCTACTCACACATGTTTACATTCTTGAAATTATATTTTAATCCTCCTTCCTTCATCCCCCGAATCCAGTCAGTTGCCAAGTCCTATCAGTTTTATCTCTAAATATCTTTTGCATCAGCTCATTCCTTTATAATTTCCAGAGCCAACACCCTAATTTAAGCTCTCATTACCTCTAAACTACACTATTGCAAAAGCCTTCTAATCAGACACAGTGTATATATACATTTTCTTCCTGCTCTGATTCATCCTTCACACTGAGCCCAGATTAATCTTCCTAATGCACAGCTCTAATCATAACACTCCACTAATCCAAAATTTTATGGCTTTCCATTGCCTACCAAATAAAATACAGACTTGTTAGCCTGCTACTCAAGGACCTTAACAATATGGCCTTTGACAACCTGGCCCCAATCTACCCCACAAGACATATTTCACACTGTTTTCCCTTAGGAATCCTGCCTCCCAGTCAAACGATACTAAGTTGGCTCTCAAACACATCCTATCAATCAATCAACAAGCATTTATTAAGCATTTACAGTATACCAGGTACTAGGTGCTAGATGACACAAAGACAAAAATAAAACAAGCAGTTCCTGCCTTCAAGGTTTTATTCTGTGAGAGGATGTCCAGAGTCACAGCCTGAACCAAATTAAAATCTGATTAGAAACATTTTATTTTAAAATATATATATGTATATATATAACACATATAATATTAATTTGTGGGTTTTTAAGCCAATATCTGTTTGAGTTTAACACCATTATACCTTTGTTCATACTGTTTCCCACACCTGGAATGGCCTTCTGCCTTTTAAAATCCTACTCAACCTTCCAATCCCAGCTCAAATGCTCTCTCTGCCCTAAAGCCTTCCCTGATAACCTGATATAAGAGAAAGCGTGGCATAGCAGATAGAATGCTAGATCTGGAATTAGGAAGAACTGTGTTAGGTCCTGCCTCACAAACATCACTAGCTTGTATGACCCTGAGCAACCTCTCTAAATCTCAGTTTTCTCTTCATTTGTAAAATGAAGTTACCTCTAAGGGCCCTTCTAACTTTAAATATATGATTCTATGATATTTGCTATCAACAGATAGTAGACTTTCCCTCCCCTGAACTCATGTCAATCTGTTCTTTTTTGTGCACTTGCAATCTAATTTGTATTATAGTTATTTGTGTATGTCCCAATGAAATCCAGATTAAAATGTATTTGAGTCATGTTTAACAAAATAAGTAAAATTACATTACAATGAAGATAATGTTAATTTGTGATTTTTGAAGTCAACATGGGCCAGGAGGGATCCATTTCTATTTGAGTTTGAACACCATTGGTACACACTATGACCATGACTATGTGTTATTGGCCCCTCTCTGTTCTAAATTTTGTGGGCAGAGGAATAGTATCTTATCTTTTTTTATTTCTCCTTTGTGCCTACCACAAAGCACAGCACATAATGAATCAATAATAGAAAAGGAGTTTAGTTCCTTCCTTTAAATAATCTCCCTTGCCCTAAGTAAGCTCAGATATATTATCAATATGATCCTTATACATGAAGAATCCTTGACTGTCATCCTTGAAGATCTTCAACAGAGTTACTTAGAACCATGACTTTTTTATTCAATTTTTTAACATTTTTATTTAAAGTTTTTTGAGCTCTAAATTCTATCCCTCCCTCCCTTCCTCCCTCCCCAAGAGGGTAAACAATCAGATATAGGTTATACTTGCACAATTATGTAGAACATTTCCGTATGAGCCATTTTGTACAAGAGACTTGAATAAAAGCAAAAAGTGAAAGAAAGTGAAAAATAGCATTCTTCTGTCTATATTCAATAAATATCAGTTCTTTCTCTGGATGCAGATAGTGTCCTTTGGGATTTTGGGATTGTCTTGGATCATTGTATTGCTGAGAATAGCTAAATCTTTCACAATTCAACATCCTCTTGCTTCTGTTCACTTTACTATGCATCAGTTCACGTAAGTCTTTCCAGGTTTTTCTGAAATCATCCTGCTTGTCATTTCTTATAGCACACTAATTTCATCTAATCATGAAATAGAACAATAGTAAAGGAAGGATATCTTGTGTCTTCCAGTATAGTACACTTAAGAGTAGGTCGGCAAGATCCCTAATCAATCCACTTTCTAGTAAAAGACCTAATGGGTCCCCAGTGGTCAGTCGCCTTACATTTAAAAATAGCAATAGAGGGGCAGCTAGGTGGCACAGTGGATAGAGCACCAGCCCTGGATTCAGGAGGACCTGAGTTCAAAGCCGGCCTCAGATACATAACACTTAGTATCTGTGTGACCCTGGGCAAGTCATTTAACCTCTATTGCCCAACCAAAAAAA